ATGACGACTCCATGATCAACCGCTTCGTGTTGACTGGTTGGTTTATGTTCGTACTTGCATCATACCTGGCATCCGCGTTTGGGGACAACGCAGCCAGCCAGTTGGAAGCAGACATTTGGCGCAGTAGCTAGTCGTGCGAAGTGGACTATCCAAGGCGCCTTTGCGGATGAAGTTATATGTTTCAGGATGTGGATGCTGACATGGCTCGGCGTTCTGCCTCCGGGAAAGGCAATCACTGATAGCCACGAGAGAGCAAACGCCAATCGCTCAAGCACCAATCGATCAGTAAGCGCATTCAGATCGACGGGGAAGATGTACGTAGCCTCTGCATGGACCAACCGCACACATCCAGTCGCTCACCTGCCGACAGTCTCGTAGCCATCCGAGAACTGACCCAACCTTCAACGGCTGACCTACAAGGCCGTCAAAACAGCAAAGCTAAGCCTACAAGCACAATACAGAATTCGAGGCAAGTAGACGCTAGAGGCTTAGTGTCCTTATTCGGCCCGAGCGCAGATGGCAGCGAATGACAAGTCGAAGGACCGACTTGCGATCCGATCAAGGAACATTGTAGCACGACACCTTTTCTGTTGTTCAAAGCAGAAGAACGGCATTTGAAACAGTTTCCAACCATTCAGTTCGTTGGAGGGCACGACCCAACTAGCAGCAAGGCCCGGTACTGGAACCCGGGCACGAAGTCTGGATGCATACAACTTCTTGCTTGTCGAGACTTAACAATCATGGGCGTCGTTTTTCCAGAGTCTTTCATCGAAACCTGTGCTGGCGCCCGCGGGACGTTGAACTATGCAGGAAGTCCAAATTCGGGCAATAAAACTCAGGCCCAAGCACTTGAACAGGCTGAGTAATGAACGACCCGATCTCATCCGCTGATGTCTGTGTCAAAGATGAAGCTCGCTGTGGCAGCTGCTTGTCTGTGTCGCAGCGTCGCAGGGAAGCCAAAACTGAGCGGACGAATCAGCGTGTTGTGAACGCAGGAAGCCCTGGAAGATGACGATCGCGAGGTAGCAGAACATCTCCAGGTCGCCGAGACAGCAAAAATCAGGAGCAGATAAGTTTTGGCATTTTGAGGGCTTGGCATCGTTGGAACTATGAGTGGATTCAGCATGCACTGTGGTAACCTTTGCCAGGATGCTTGTCCTTCTGAAGTGCAAGGGTTGGTTTGCGCCAGAAGAGCTTGTCTCACAACGCTTGCTCGACTGTCGGAGGCTTATCGCAGACCCCCGGTGTGGCCCAGCAACCCTTTGAATATTAACTGTATATGGCACTAGCTTCGAACCCGAGTGCGGTCATGTCCACGCCTGGTATGACCCAGGATTTCTGATCCCCTGATGCATTCCCACTGCGCCAGGGAGCGGTCGAGGCTTCCTTTCGGCTTAAGCGTCTGCTGCGAGACGACTTGAAGGCCCGCTTGCAGTTTACGACAGTCAAGATCGCAAGCCTTTCCTCACGCGACTGCAAGCGTCGTGATTCTGACGTCATACCGCAATCTTCCAGAAGGAAAAATGTCGACCGGAAGGCACGGTCGCACACACGCATCATTTTTCACAAATCACACAAGATACCTCGCTCTCTCTCCCGCTCTCTCTGCTTCTCCGCAGCGTGCCGGAGGACAATCTACAAGAACAGCCCGCGAAGAAGCCGCGCTTTGAAGAGCAGAATGTCGGCCCCGACGAGGCAAGGTGATCATAGCATTTTCATGTCGGGGCTTCTTTTCCGGATCGTCGATGCCGCGTCAGTCTGTTCTATCACGTACATGTGTCACAGCGGGGGTGGTCAGACAAAGATGCCCAAGATATATACCAAGAAGCACAAAGACGAGTTCTGCGCGCTTCAGTCAGGTATGCAGCAACACGGAAGTCCGCGCCAGCATCCCATTTCCTTTATGGGCTCCACACAATATCTCTGTTGTTGTTCTCCGCTTTGTCGCTTCTTCATGACTGGGCCGAACTTGCTGGTGCTGTGCGTGAATGCCATTCCCGACTGCGGAAGTAATCGTGGTGGATTCTGATTCGAAGCTTTGCGTAAGGTGACGTCCAGAACTTGGATCCAAGTTTACCGATTTAGCTCCGCCCTGTCTGTTGCAGGTGGCGCGGATTGACAGAATCCTCCGCTTCTGAGCTTGCGTTTATGCTGTGCATTGCTGTGCCATTTTGGTGTTTAGCTTCCGGATCTTCCGTTGGGAGGGGGTGTGATAGGTCCCCCGTCAAGGAATGCAAGTGTGGAGTGTGGGGACTCAGGCCAGAGCAGTGTTTGCATACTACAGGGGCCTTAATAATTACCTATACTATTTTGGGGGGGTGATATTGATTTCTACATTTGATCAAACATGATCCAAGAATCAATATTCCAGATTGATCTGGCGCACCATCACAATCAACATATTGATTGTAATCAATATGGGATGCTCAGGGCAGTTATTGTACAACATACCCACAAACCCTATTCTAATTATTCAGGCCCTATATTAATCCCCCGAAGGAGTGCGGATTTGTCGAGGATCGTCTCACTTCTTGGCCGACTCAAGGTTCACTCGTTCCTGACAGTGCTTGTTGCAATACCTGTAAACCCTAAACCCTAAACCCTAAACCCTAAACCCTAAACCCTAAACCCTCAGCAAGAGGGAGGGCCCCAAGTTTCACGACTTCTGGCAGAGCAACTCTCGGCCTTAAAATCCTTAGACTCTTCCTTGAGTTTTGATCTCCCATCAAGAACCCAGGTCGGGAACAAGTGGTTCTTTTGGCTGATAAAACGCTCTTACCACCCGGGTCGATCCGGGTGTGAAGACCACGCTTCTAACTTGTGCTTAGCAGCAGCTCCCTCTAAAACCCTACAAAACCCCTAAACCCTAAGCCTGCGATCTAATTTAATGTAATCTCTGTTGTCTCCTTACCAACCTCGCCTGTGGGCATAGTTCTCTGCCATGCGAGAGGGAAAAAGCCCTAAACCTCTAACTTGGAGACTCATTGCCATGCCTGCCTTGTGCGAGTGTGTGTGTGTGTGTGTGTCGAAACCTCTAACTTGTGCTTTCAGGAAAGTGGGGCCTTCAGGGCGAGGCTCGTTGCTTGCGGAGTGCACCTCGGGACTTCAGGGAAAGGGCTGGGCTTGCAGCGGGCTTCATGCGTCTCCTGTTATGATACGTTTATGCGGAAACTTCAAGCCTAATTACCTCTTTCTCTGGATGGACAGAAGCCTCCAAGAGAGAGAGAGAGAGAGAGTGAGCGAGTGAATCAATTCAGGAGAAGTTTCGTTCTTTGCAGGGGTGGAGGGGATTGAACGGTCTCTGTTTGCTCCCTGTATGGGGTCATCCATACATAGCCTGAGACGAGAGATTTCAAGTACAAATGTTGAGCACACGAACTCCCCAATCCTCGCCTGTGCCAGACAGTGGTCCGGCATGTGCTGGAAGGGCTCAATGCCTTCGAGTTGAAAGAGCTCGAGAACTCCGGGTGCGACAGGGCGCTGTGCTATGGATACTTCGGGCCGTGGTTGAGGGTTTGATTCAACAAACTTTGACCCTGAGTCATTAGTAAGTGTTTCACAATGGCCCTAGCACGCCTGAATGTCTTCTTTCACGCGTGGCAGGTACTATCCGGACACAACCAATGAGTGGCGAGGTCCAGCTGAAGCTTGGCTATGCAGAAGATCACAAGCTGACATCTCGAGGCATGCTCAGGAACTCGAGCGTCTCCGTGCCGCAGAGGCTAAGGTCAGGCAGAGGCGTGTGCCGCGTGTTGTCAGCATGTGTGAAAACATTTTCGAGTCAGCTCCTAAGGAACTCTCTGCGGTTCATATCGCACAGGCCCGTCAGGGACACCTTGCACAGTCGGGGGAAGTCGGCGTTGCAATTCCACAAGTTTTGCCTTGCAAGCTCACTGAGCTCCTTGCTGCAGCAGAGCTTATAACATTCATGCCTAGTGAATCCAAAGCTGGGGGATGCTGCCGGTCGGACCTTCTGCAAGAAGCTTTTCCCTGCACAGATGCGCGAGATGATGGGCCAAAGTCGCCTGGTCCGCATTTGGAGCTGCGGTCATCCGCAGCGGCATCCGGGCAAGCTATCGCGAGCATTTCAGAGCCGCTCAGGTGGCGGTTCCCTCGATCCGATTCAAGCATTCCGGGCTCATTGGGACCTGGACGGCACGTTCCTTGCCTGAGAAGGGGTATTCTTACCGCAGTTGCACATGCGGGAAGACGCTTGCAGACTCGGGGAGGGTTCTGTTCATGCTTTCGTGTTACGTATCATCCAACTTTGAGTGTGCCGGGACAAAAATTGCAACGACGACGAGTACTGTCACTGCCGCTACCACTGCTACTGACACTGCTGCTACTGCTTCTACCGCTATTACAGCAACTGCTGTTGCTGCTACTACTACTACTACTACTACGACGACTACTGCTACTGCTACTGCTACTGCTACTACTACTACTACTACCACTACCACTACCACTACTAATACTACTACTACTACCACTACTACTACTACTACTACTACTACTACTACTCCTACTACTACTACTACTACTACTACTACTACTACTTCTTTCCAATTCCACTTCCGCTTCTGCTTCTACTGCTATCACTACTGCTACTACTGCTACTGCGACTACGGCTACGACTACGACGACGACGACTACTACCTAGTACTATTTACTACTACTACTACTACCACCACTACGTCGACGACGACGACTACTACTACTGCTGCTACTGCTACTGCTACTGCTACTGCTACTGCTTCTACCACTACTACTGCTACGACTACTACCACTACTACTACTACTACTACTACTACTACTACTTCTACTTCTACTTCTACTTCTACTTCTACTTCTACTTCTACTTCCACTTCTACTACTACTAACCACCACCGTGACGACGCTGGCGACGACGACGACGACTGCCTCTACCACTGCCACTGCCACGACAGCAACACCATCACCACCACCACGCCTCTTTGGTTGGTAACGGGCACGGCAACCAGGCAGAAGCCTCCAGTGGGCTGTCCGAGACCGAGGCGGGTTCTCTTATGGTCTTTCTTGGCACCCTAAGCCCCAGAGCTGTCACTGCCCTGAAGACCCGAAAAAGTTCCCAACCCCCGGCCTCAAACCTCTGAAGCCTACCCCGTTGAATGGATTTGATGAGGCCGGCCTCGAAGTGGCCCGGAACCCGATCTCTCTCTCTCTCTCTCTCTCTCTGAGACAGACGCTGCGTTTTTCCCGTGCTCCTTGGCATACTTCGGCTTGAGGACAAGAAGTACCTGGCTGATTTGACGACCACCTGCCAAAAGAAGGCCACGATCATCTCTGTTCCATTTGCACATCTCTGGACGGTCCAGACTCTCTAAAGCCCTCAACCTTGAATTCCCACAATATTCAAAGCTGCACTTCCAGGCAGGGGACTTCGAAGAGCGCCAGAAGCTTCGCGGAGAGGCCTTGCAAGGGCAGGATGTGACATATGAGAGTTCTGTGGGAAATACCAGGACCCCTCCTGAAAATGGCACCCCTTAATATACGAAAGGGAGCCCGATAAGTTTACGAACGCCTCTCTGATTGAAACCCCCCTTCCTTCAGGAGCTCGTTGCGCTGGACGAAGCCATCAAGGCAATCTCCGAGGCCCGGGTCCAAGAGCGGATCCCCCGCTTTCCGGTTTCATCCGGACACCTCCCAAAATCCCTAAACCCATGGCCACAAACCCTGGTGTAGTCCTATACGCAACCGTGGCGTTCGCAGATCTCCGGAGCCAGCCTCGCGCAGACGGTCGGGGGCCCATGGATGGGAAGTTCTCAAGAGTTTAGGGCATAAGGGTTTGAGGGAGTCGGGGTTTTGAGGTTCTTGGGGTGTAGGAGAGTCGCTTTGGGGGTTGACGGACGCCGGCTTTCGGGATGACGAGAGCCCCCGCAAAGTTGGATGCGAGCTGCGCCCAAGGTGAAGACGGCCTCGGCCCTGGCGCAGCTGCGAACTGACGCGGCGAACCCGGCGCAGGCATCGCAGCCGAGAGCCAGGTTTTGGGTTGTGGTATGTTGTGGTCCTGCCTAAACCCTAAACCCTAAACCCTCGAGCTTCTTCCGTGACAGGCCCAAGTGGCTCGTTTCCTGCAGAGGGAGGTCCGGTGCTGACTCGCAAAGCTTGTGGGTTTTAGAAAGGCCCAGGGCTCTGAGAGCTTCTTGCCTTCTCTCTGCCGGTGAGGCGTCGAGTCTGAACAGCCGGCTTCTTTCCGCGCTTGCGGAGCGCGCTCGAGCAGACCCAATGGCGAAGGTGTGGGTTCTGTGAGGGTAATTTGAAGTGAGCAGAACCCTACAGTAACCTTTTATATCACTCGGCCACAGCTAAAGCAGCAGGTCAAGCAGATGATCGAGCAGCTGATTGTGCGACTCAAGGACCAGGCTCGCAAATTGCGGAAAATGCTGGAGCTTGGCAACATGTCCTACATGCCAGATCATGCTAGGCCAAGGAGGAGACGACCAAAAAGGCGCAGAAATGCTCGCACGACTTGTGTTTCAAAAGTCGTCCATCTCTCGCAGGGTTGGTGCGATGCGGAAATGTCGACGAACAAAGCCACGCGCGAGGAGCCACCGAGCCGACAATGATCTTTCTCTGTGCCTAGTTCTCTGGATGTGATATAGGATGATGACAGGAGAAGTCCGATGCCGTGAGCAGTTTGAAGGCAGAGATCGACGAGTTGGAGGCAACTGAGCTCCTGACTGAAGACTGGCTTCAGTACCAGTCGCAGACGACATCTGCAGGCGCACATCAGCAAGCTGGGAGAGGCATGTCCCTTGCTGGGGCGGCCGAGTGCACAGGTGAGCCTCAGCAGTCGCCTATGCCCTGGGCTCAGGAGATCGTCAGCTTGTCCGGTGAGCTCACCGAACTTGACAATGCAGCATCAGAGGCGGGACTCTAAATCCTAAACCAATGACCCCAAATCTGAATCCCGAAACTCATCAAGCCTTTGAACCCTCAAATCCTGAACCCATTTAGCCCTAGACCCATTTCCACCAAACCCCAAAAACTAAACTCCAAACCCGCTACTTGTACGTCTCCAAAACCAGCTCCTTCGGCTTCCGTGCAGGCGACCAGTCTCAGGCAGAAGGAGGAGGCCAAGAATGAGGTGCCGGGCCTGCATTTTCGTCTTCAGGGTGCCAGACAGAGGTCGCAATGATACTGGTGCTGCTGCTGCAGCTACAACTGCTGCGACTACTAGTACGACTACGACGACTGCTACTGCCAACGGTAATGGTAACAAGAATGAGAGACTAGTTGTAGTAACATTATTGGTACCAGTAATAAAATAATAAGCGTACGATGCTACGAGCTATGGTCAACAGCAATGGCAATAGCAATAGTATTCATAATATCAAAAGTACTGCCAAGGGCAACAATAGGAACATTGATAGTATTTGCGATGATCATGTGAGATGTGATGCTTGAGGCAACGGTCAAGGAAGCAAAAGAGGGCCAGGACTTCCATCCACGGTGTAGTCTCTCTCTGGAGATGTCTGCTAGTGTCGCTGCTTCCCGCCAGGATGCAGTGGCCAAGGCGATCATGGTGCTGAAGGAGCCGCGGTAAAATCAATCCCAGTCAGCATAAGCTCATGCGGACATCGGCTGAGGACTTCTATGCCAAGGCTGGGAGCTGAACACGGTGCTTCTTCTGGCAAATTAATAGTTGCGGCTACCGAGTGTGCTCTTGTGCCAAGGCTGGGAAGTCCACGGCCTTGCTGCAGAGCTCTGAGCTGCATGGAGCCCCTCCCGTTTTCGGCGACGAGCCCTACACAGGCGGCGGAGATTTCGTCTCGAGAGGCTTTGCATGGCATTTGTGGCGACAGGCATGCAGAAGGCAAAAGGTGGAGTGGTGGCGATGCTGGAGGCTTCATGGCATTCCTCCTCTTTTCTTTGTCGTTCTAGAAACGGGACGTTGCAGCACACCTCTCGGATTATTTCGGTTTTGGCATGTCCCAGGTGATCGAGTCAGACTTCTCTCGAATGGAGGCGGAAGCCACTGCCAGCGAGGCTGGACAGCCATTGTTTTCCTGTCTGGGTGGTCATAAGTTGCAACGTACCCATACGAATGAAGATGGAACGAGGAGCCACGTGTGACTGAGACGATTCTGTGCTCGCAACAGGCAGCGTCAAAGAAAGAGTTTGAGAGCTTTGTGGAGGACCTGCTCTGGGCACGTTGGTGCCTATGACTACGACGACGATGGTGCTGGTGATGACGCCTGCGATGTCAAGGATAATGCGGATAATGAAAACAACGGAGACGCTGCCGCAGACGATGACAGTGACTTCGGTGGCTGGCAATGCCGTTACGGTGATGGCAGTGACTTTGTTGATGGTTGTATTTATGATCACAGTTTCTGTTGGTAACTCTGTAGCTGCTGAACCGTAGCTGTTGTTTTCGGGCTGTTGTCCTGGTACTGTCGGTGGAAGTGGCCTTGGTAGTGGTAGAAGTGGTGGCAGGAGCCGTGCTGTCATTGATGATAGAGAGGGTTCGGTGGTGCTCGTTGATGCTGCTGTTTGCTGTTGCAGTCAGTGTTATGGAAGTTGTTGTTGTGGTTATGTTCGTGGTGGGTGGTGGTTGTTATTCGTGATTGCTGTGGGCCACGGCTGCCTCTGCATGCTGCAGCTGCTGCTTGTTGGTGCTGCCGCTGCTGTCGCTGCCTCGGCTGCTGCTTGTGTTGTTCATGGTGCAGTTGCTGCTGCTGCTGCTGCTGCTGCTGCTGACTTTCCCTGCTTGCACGTGTTCTTCTTCATGAGCGTATTGCAGTATGTAGTTTGTGTCATGTGTGGCAGCAGGAGTCCAAGATCACCAAGGCAGAGAAATCCAAGGCCACTAATAGCCCTTTCTTGTCGAATATTACTTTTTTCTTCGCCCTTCCTTCAACAGCTTTCCGCTCATCTTGAAGGAGGTAGAGCACAAGACGTCCTCGAAGCAGCAGAAGAAGTCCGAGCTCATCACCCTGCAGGCGCGCTGCCCCTCCCGCGCCTGCGAGGAGGGGGGGGACTTGGAAGTGGCTTTCTTGCGCCAAGGCTGACCTGCAGGGAACTGAGAAGGACTGGAATGGCCCCGGTTTTTGCGCGAAAGCTTCCGGAAGCCTCCGAGAACTTGGGCTTTGCCGCAGGAGCTGGATGCGGCCGAGGTGTATTTCGAGAAGCTGAAGCCAGACTGCTTGGATGCCCTTGCCCCAGCCACCAGGAAGAGACAGGAAGCAGCATATGAGGGAGAGGTAGCTGCTTGGATTCAGGCGGGCCCGAGCTACCAGGAGAGGAAAGCTCGTAGGGAGGAGGAGATGAAGGATCTGAAGGAGGCGCGCCGCATGCCGCAGTCCCCTCTCCAGCCGTGTGCGGCATACACTGAAGCATCTTTTGCAGGCTCTCGAGATGCTGGATGCCGCGTGAGAGCACCATTCGCTTTAGGACTTCAGGGTTCTTACCGGACGCCGTTTCACAAGAGGCCATAAAGGCTCAAGAGAAAGAGTGTGGCTCACGCTGTACGCTAGGCAGTGGCCAGGGGCCAGACCTTGAAGCTGCATGAGGCTTGCATCAATGTGAAAGCCTCCCTCGTGGCATTGTATCAAGCTTTCGCAGACACACGAAGGCGACAGAGATGTCGACCCCATACTCCAAAACCCCTTAATTAAGGAATATATCTTAAACCATATTAGGATTCCTATTATAATTTAAGGTATATTCCTTAATTAAGGGGTTATGGAGTCTCTGGGTACCCCATACTCCATACCCCAACTTCAGCAGGCCACTCAGGCCAAATCATAGTTGACATGTCGACTTGATTGTCGCCTGTGACCGCAATCCGCCGGCAAAGAATGCACCCTCAGTGAGCTGAAAATGCCAGGGGACAATCCCGAGGGTCCAACCACGTCCAACCAGTTAGCCAAACCCTGTAACCATCCTCAACCAAGACGGGACAGATTCACAGAGCCCGCCGACTCGTCGAAAACTGGCAATGCCAGAGGAGCTTCCACCATGGCAGCATTGCAGGCGGCTGTGCTGCTCACTTGAGCAGCCGTTGTTGAGCGGTCTGTGACTCCCTGGCAGGCAGAGTTAAAGTCATGGACAGCCAATCGCATCGGTGACTTGACACAGGCCAAGGGATTCCTTGAAAGACACCAAAACCGCCGCCTTTTGATAGCTTTTGGGAGTCTCTGCCGTTGACTCCTCGGCCCTGAGACCCGGGATTCGGACTGCTTGGAGATTGCCGAGTGCATCCTGGAGAACGAGGATCTTGCCGACCCGGAAGCCTTAAAGGCCTGCAGGGGGAGTGGTCACTGCCAGATATCATTGCTGTATACCTCGCGCAGTCTGCGGTTTACTCCCTGCGACTGTTTCTTGACGACGTATAGTATCCTATAGCACAGTGATTGTTGCGATGTCATCTGACAGCAC